TCCAGTAATATTCAGCTGTATATGGGCTTCTTTTGTAAAAGTGACAATTAGACAAAAACATGTGTCTGAAAGCCAATATTCAGTGTGTACCTGCTGCTTTTACATGTTATTACAGTCTTCCTGAGCCTCTAGCTTAAGGGATCTGTGCATGCTTATATTTTTAGCAAGATTGCTATACTCGTTTAGCTGCAGTTCGTTGAACCTCACAGATGACACCTTATGAACTGTTGTTTTTCTTGATTAGGCCTTAACCCATGGACGCGGTGTAATTGCAGGGCCGCGGCATAGAACATAACCCTATTATTAAACAATCAATCTCTGTAATTGACCTTGTGTTGGTATTCTGTTTTGGAAAAGGAAAGCTCTGCGGCTGTCATGTGTCGGGGAAATGTAATAATATTCTTTGCTAAGCACATTTCTGTCGCTTTACACATTGTAGTTCCACAGCATCAGCATGTGATCAAGCATTTCAGTAGAAATTGAGCAATTTTGCCTGTACTGTATAAGTAATACTATTGCTAGGTTGCCATATCCTTTGTAGACATATTCACTTAGCTGTTATATGAGAAATGATAGCCTTTACTGATTAATCTTCTCATTAATATAAAAATCTACAGGATTGCATTCAAATAAAATGTTTGCTTTTTAAAATGAAAAAATATGTTTATTTTTATCATCAAAGAAAAATATTAATGCTACCTTATTTGAAATGCCCTTGGCAAGTAATTAATTTTATTTGTTTTTAATCATTGTATGATTAGCAGCACCCTTAAATGAATAGTGGAGACATGTTGGTTTCCTCATTGAAATTCCTCTCTAACTTCTGCTGAGCTGGCTTAAAAGCATGACTGTGTCTCTGTGGGTCACATAACCTCAACATATTAACATTTATGACCTCCATGACACAAATGTTTGACACTTTAAGGTGGCCAATTGTTACTGTCCAAATAAAGAATTTATTGGGACTGTTTTCTTTTGAAGTCACACTTAACAATACCGCGGAATTCTTGAATATTGATTTTTTTAAAGGTCAGTTGCACATATTTATATTATTATTATTAGTTATTGATCTTTCATTCGATATGACTATTAAAAATTCGTGCAATTAATTGCAGCCTTATATAGGTGTATACAGTTCCTTCCTGTTTTGTATTAGTTATTTATGGATACTGACGTTCTTCTTGTTACACTTAATTTGTGGTCATTGACTCAAATCACAATTTTTTCCAATAGGAGTAGATAGATATGGCAAACGGGTTGCACAGACTGAAGAGAGGCAGGCTGAACCTGCAAGCTCAGAGAGGACTAACACTTCATGCATTGATTTCTGCTCAATCTTAGGATATTTGACAGCCATGCCCATACAGTAATGAGAGTGGGATGTCTAACAGGGTTGTATAATTTTTTTTGAAAAACATCCCTCTTCCTTTTACTCTTATCGATTCAGATTCATTCTTTATGTTGTCTTCATAAGAACTAATGAAAAAATGTGAACTAAGAAACATAATGTGGCTTTTTGTGGGTTTTTCAACCTGATGGTTGTAAAGAACAATTTTAATGCATTTCTGCAGTATTCAGTATTCCATTTTGAAAGGAGGTTTACAAAAATCATCCATCCATTTTCTATACCAGTTTGTCCTATGCAGGGTCTTGGGGGTCCAGATACTATCCTGGTAACTTTGGCCACAAGGCAGGAAACAATCAAGGATGAGGCACCAACCCATCACAAGGCACACATGCTATTTATGTGCACATATGTGCAGTTTTGATTCTCCAGATCAATTTAGGACTGTGGGGTGGGGGGCTACAGGTGCAGGCAGATGAAAGCCCATAACAGCACGGGGAGATCATGCAAACCCCACATTCACGGGCCCTGGTACCAGAGGTGTGAGGCAACAGTGCTAAACAGTGGCCCACCATGCTGCCCCCTTTACGAAAATTATTTAAATGTAAATATTTTTTGAATGCAAAGTTTACAAGAAACAGTGTATTTCAGGACCATCCTGCACTGTGTTAAGATATTCTCTTACAGAACAGTCTCCTGTTTCTGATTTGTATTTGGACGGCATTTTTCAAACTTAAGGTAATAACATTTTTATAGAGTTATCATATTAGCTTTAATTTTGAAATGTTTTTCACTCCTGCTATATCTATAGGCATTAACCCACAAAGTAGGCCTAAGCTGTTCTATGATAAACTCCAGTACAGGATGCCCTTTGATCTCTGGATAGGCACAGTTACCTCAGCACCTTGACTGTATTTTTATGACGTCTCAGTGGGAAGCTGCTTAACAGTGCTGAAATTGTTTTTTGTGGAACTAGTAGTCACTGAGACTATATTTTGTAAATCACAACCCAATAAAATTAAATTAACATAAATTCTGTAGCTACACAAGTCTCACTGGAATCTCTTGGCAAAGTCTTAGGAGGTATTAAATGGTTACCAAAAATAGAGTAGGTATTTGTCTCAATGCAGCTCTGAACACATCTTTTAAGTGACACATATAACACTGATAGAACATGTTTTGCTTGAGTTTTACATGCATTTCCTGATATTTGCTGGGCTGATAAAGTGGCTTTGTAAATGCATTTTGCCAAAAAATGTGTTATTTTGAGATATTGAGTCTATGTATGTAATGAAAATCCATGAAGACCTACATCGTGCCGTTCGACTCCCATGTTAAATTCAGTAACAGTGATTGCAAAATTTGATAACGCTTGCCGCCTCGTGGTTTGACAAAATTTGATAAAACATGAAACCTGACCTCTCTATGACAGCAAACTGCTGCCAGTTGACCTAGCATGTTGAGCATCATGTATTGATTTTCTGAGAAAGTTTAGTGTTCATTAAAAGGAAACATCTGCTAGTATTTATGCTGGCTTATATATGAATTGTGCACGTATTCCTTATATCTTGTGTTTCTTTTGAGCAGTTGTAGCTTTTTGTTGCATTTGTGTATACATATGAATGTCTAGGTTCTGGGGTGTGCAAATATGTGTATATGAATATGTGATTTGCTGAAGCAGCACTATAGCAAAGTGTTTCACCATACATCTCCATCTCCTACTGAATGTCTGCTTAATTTTTGTTATTTTGTACCACAGCAGATGGAACATACCCTTTGAATCTGATCTTGTGAAGTAAAGCTGATGACAAGATACAGTTGTACCTCATTTCTATTTTTAGGTATCTATCTGAAAAATCGCACACAGCGGTATTGTCTACTCTCAAAATCCCTTCTGCATTCCTGTTATTCTTCAGAAAAAAGAATATAATGTTTGCCATGCAGTGAATGCTAATTACACAAATGCTTTGTTTGATTTTTGTTTCTGTTAGCAGTTTGCTCACTTAGGAAGGTGTATCATGTGGATGTACAGAAAGATACAACCTTCATTGCAGCCCCTTTTGTCCTGGCAGTTTTGAGCTACTGTGTTCAGAGTGTACTGTAAACATGACTACTTCTCCATTTTTATTGCTATGGAAATATTGTATACAAAATGTCTGCTTATGTTGGTTATTTATTGGTTATCAAGGTTCAGTTGCATAATGTTAAACCATTTTCCGTAATGTAATGTATTATCAAAAATTAATATGCCTTTTAAAATCTCAAACTAAATCTAAGACTGACAGACACTGCACCACATATTCACCATAAAATATTTGTTTCTGAAACATCAGCATACCATTTTTCTCCCTACGTTTATTAAAGGAATACATAACTGTTTATCGTAGCCTGCAGGATATGAGCAGTATTCTAAGGAATATATAAATTTAGCTATTCTATTCTTGAGCTATTACAGCTATTCTATAATTGAGAATTATTTAACATTTCTCATTTATCAGCTGAAATCCTCTTAAATTGTATTTGTTTGTTCCTCCTTAGAGCCAACTTAAATCATTTTATGTTGTGTTGTGTTCGAAAATGTTGACAAAGCAGCCGTTGGTAATTTTGGTTGATGGATGGCCCTCGTGTGTTGCTAATTATCAGTGTACATAAAAGGATGCTGTTATTTTCTGTCCAGCCCAGCAGGCCTCGCTGTAAAGGTCACAGACTAAATGCTAAGCTATCAGCTCAAGCCCATATCACTCAATCTTGATGTATGAGTGCAGAGGTACAAATTAAACAAGGACCAAACTTTTTTGGGGGGACTGCCCGGACAGGATGCCGTTTGGGCTAATGTCTGCATACCAGTCAGACAAAAACAGTACTATACTACATGCTGTAATTACTTTGTGTACACACATCTGGAGTTTAGTTCCCAAAGGAAACTAATATACATCAAACCACCCACCTTTCTAACATGCAAAATAACTTTAATATGTGCCAATTAAGAACATAATTTTTAAAAATCACATGCAATATATGAAGGTTATATATGGTTTCATATTAAATCATGCCACAGTGTGAGTAAAAAGCCTTATTTAGAAAAGTTCTGATCTGTGTAGTAGTCATAAAACTGGTGATGTGTTTTTCAGACACTTCACTTAAGTTGTTTGTCTATTTTAGCTTTTTTTTTTTTGTTTTTGTATTTGGAAACGGACTTGTTTTGAGTTATAATCAGTTGTTTCGCACATAAATGGAATTGGCTTTCGCATGTATTTTTGAATGGGTGGATTTCCAGTTCTGCCTGAAGGGATAAAGGCATTCATCTGGATCTTATACCGGCTCAGTTTTCTTGGCTGGCGTGACATGAAATTGAACCTGGGGAATTGTGATGTTTGACATGGAAACTAGAAAATTTCTGCATAAGACTAATATTGCTATTGATCCACCAATATGTCGGCTGTGGATTGTTCATAATGACCATGCAATAAATGCATTTTAATGCTGTAATTCCTAAATGTCGAGATGTTTCTTTACTTATTAACCAGAAACAGCATTAATAATTAGCTTCCTAATGTCCTAAGTGGGGATCTTAAAATAAGTATAAGGTGTTAAAAACCGCATTACAAATATTTATAACTTTATTAATAGTTTACTTGTACAAGATGTACATTCATTGTGTGAATCAACAGGAAAAAAATCATTGTGTCAAAGCCGTAAGATGAATCATGTTTCAGCATGCTTGCATAATTCACAAAAATAAAGAAGTGAACATAATAAAATAAAGCCGCGGTACATTTACTTCCATGGTGCTTAACATAAAGTTGTTTGAAAAAGATCATCAGAAACTGACAACCAAAATATTGTCATTACCATCCCTGAAATGTCTGTAAATTCACACTTGTTATATGCAATGCAAGCAATGTACAACAGTCACTTTATGTTGGAACGGTCGCAAAGTAATATTAAAACAATATATAAAAATAAACGCAAAGCCATGTAAAAATGTACACTCATAATTAAACTTTTTCATTTATAAACTTTCAACATAAAAATAAATAAAAACACCCATGAGTTTAATTAAAAATTGAAACATTGTGTAAAAACTGTAAAGATGAGTATTGAAAAGAATGCTGCACATTTAATGTTTTGTTAGAGGTAGACAATATTGGGATCATTACTGAAGAGTTCGGAGACAATAAGTATTGACATAATAATCCATTTCACTTGCACATGCAATAATAAATGATTCCCCAAACATAAGGTTAATATCCTAAATTTGCAATTTTCAAAATATTGGTTGACAAAATAAGGATTATTTCAAAATAATGCTGTATATCAAAATTAGTATATGCAATGACTTATTTGTGACATTGTAACTGTTAGGAGTTTATAATAATAATAATAATAATAATAATTAGTTTAATATAGTTTAATAAACTTTTAGATTTAGACTGAAATTATGGCTTTCTTCAGTCATATAAAACATTGAAATTTGAAATGGTTACACCCACGTCAATACTTTAGACCGGATGTCATTTAGGAACTGTTCCTTTGACTAGTGCTTCCATCAGTGATCCCTGAAACAAAAGTGTGCTTGTCTACCTCAACAAGGTATTGTTGTTTTTGTATGTGCACAAAACTGTCAATATCATCCAAACTAAACTGAGTTATGGCACATGATTATGGATTATGTATATGGACTCATACAATTTAACATCTCTTTAAAAAATGTTTGTTTGGCAAAGAAACTCAACACATTAATATCAGTGCCAAGAACTGATTTTTTTCTTTAGCAATTCACTGCTCTCTTGACCCTTTTCCTATTTACAGTATTGCACTTAACTGCACATTTGCATTTCAGTTAAACTGATTCTTAATTGATACCCTAAATTACATAATTGCAGTTACCCTTTTGTCCCTTTAAATGTTTTTATCAAACCAAATTCATCTCTTTGTTTTCCCTTATTAAGAAGTAGTATCTGCTTATAACATGACTTGTAAACAATGTGATATTAGACCTGAAGTGCAATGGTTACCTTCATTCCATTCCTCGGAGCCTAACGATTTAAAAAGGGGGGAAAGAGCGCAAAGTTGAGAGTAATACGTGAAATAATCCTGCTGACCCGTACCCAGCAGAAATACAGCAACACAAAAATTTCCTTTGAGAGCAGCAGAGACAGATTAAATTTGCAGGAAATAAAGCTGTGCTATAACTCCTTTTCTATGTCTCCGCCGCATAATTCTCAAAAGAAAGAAAAAATGAAACTGAATGGAAGATATTTGCAGAGGATGATAGATATAGTGGAAGGATCTCATGGCAGTGATTAACATAGTTGGACATATATCAGTTATAAAGGAGGCCCAGCCCCAAAGAGTCTCTCCTCTAGTCAGACACATGCACTAGGCAAGAGGCAGGAATACACAGTGGTTGGAGGCAAACATAGGCATATTTGCAAAGGTTGAGTATCCAAAGCCTCAGCATCCTTTCCATCCACATGGGTTGTCAACAAATGTCAGGGACATTCTAGTTGAATCTTTTTTCTGCATGTTTTTCGCCCATTTTTAAAAAGGCTTCTCGTATTAAATGCAGATTTCAGATAGACATCCAGACACTTTTGTACGATCCTGGGGCTGAGATCTGAGGCCGGAAAGCACACAGCCACTGGCCTTGAAGAAGTCCTGCCTGTTGGGCGAAAAGTAAAAGGTGATTTTTTTTTTTCGGTGTTTCATTACCTTTTCTACAAGTGGTTGTTTTGGCAGCTGGTTTTGTGACAGTTTGTCTTTTTTCTTTTGTTTTGTTTTAACTGTGAGTGTCATGGCCTTTTCACAGGTTGAGTCTTGTGTGAGAAGCAATTATTCAGAGTTCAGAGTGGCAGAGATGCCCGTGGGGGTCAGAGTCCCAGCGCCTCGGCGTGCTTTCTTGCCTTGAGTCGGAGGTCAGCGATGCTTGAATTCTTGCTGTTGCTCTTGGCAGCTGCCGCCACGGCCGCCGCGGCCGAAGCCGAGTCCGCCAGTGACGCGATTGGTAGTCCAAAGGGTGGGGGTGGGAACATCAGGTAAGGAGCGTGGGCCGCCAGGTGAGGGTGCAGGTGAGGGTGGGAGTGTGTTACTCCGTCCAGCTGTAGCTGAGCCTGTACCTGAAGAGAGCACAGTCCCAGGCTTCAGTCAATGCTGTCCTACCACTGCACCAAGCAACAGTAGCAAAATTCAGAGTCCGTAACGTTGTAGTTCACCCAGGCTTTGGGAACATATCTGTTTCTGCATTTCAACATTGGTTATACTGAAATTCACAATTTATTGTAATAAGATTTCAGTAATCAAAGTGTTGCTTAGGGTTTGGAATGAAGTTTAAAAGTAACTAAGTATTCCAGAATGTTCTGGTCTGACGAGTAACTGGGCATGTTCATAATGTCATCATTTAAAAAATACTTTTTTCAGCAAAAAATGAAATCTATATAATTTTACTTAATTTTGCAGCACCATCAGTATATATTGCAAAAAGACATCATATATGGTACACAAGAATTCCCCTTGTAAATGCAGCTCTTTTTAGCAGGTATACTTTAATGTCATGCAACTGTTAAAACGTACGTTATTCCATAATTGTAATGAAAGTTCAATTTTCCAGTCAACGGCAAAATATTTCTGAATTAATTTTGTCACAACAAATAACTAAAATACATTTTATCAAAACAGAATTCGGAAAAGTAGTCACATGTGGCTGCAATTGTATTATGACATGTGAACTTTCCTTTTGTTCATCATGACTAATTCTGAATCTGGAATACTGCTATTTATTTTCACATGGAGGCGCGACGGAACTGAACTGTGGTTGATTTGGCTGTGCAGCGCCAGTGGAAATAGGGCTATGTAGCAATGAGCAGTACTGTGTACCGCTAGTGCAACAGGTGTCTGACCACGTTCCCAGCCAACGGCTGCCCCCACTCCCCCAGTCCCTACGTAGCCAGGAACTTTATAATATGTTTTATCTTCCTTCACTTGTTTGTCTATTTGTTTAATTATGGACACTTTTTCTCTAGTTAAACAATCCGGTTTCCATCATAAGTTAAAAGGGGAGTCTACACTGAGTCCCCTAAATAATTTGCAACCACCCCCCTCCCCCATGTAATTAACAAGGCATGACATGTAATAACCCTAATAACTATTCTGTAGGTTCTTAGGGTTATAACTGTATGAGAGAACTAAATTCTTGTATGTGAGTGTCAGCTGACCCGCTCGTTTTCTATAATGTTAAAACTCTTGCAAATGATATCCTGAAAATTCAAATTAGGAAAACATGAGAATTTTAATGGTTCAGAAATTTTACACATTGGTGAAAATTTTTCAATTGTGCTTCATACTTTACATTTTTTCACTAATGCTTTCGTGTTCTTTTCTATTTTTTTTCCTAAAGTAAATCCCCCTTTTCTCTGTGGTTGTTCCGAAGCTATTTCTTTTGCAATGCAGCTGTCACCGGTATGAGTGTTTGAAGAACCTTTCATCAATTTATACAATTTTTGGAACTTAACTGATATGTTTAATAGTTAGCTAGTGTTCCTCTTACCGCTTAACAGGTGACATTTCAAACATTACAATTTCAAAAGCCTGCTTATCTTACAAAAAGTACTGTTATTAATCGATTATTTTATATAGCGTATATGCGAAATATTTTTAACAGCTGTATCACATTCGCAGGGGAATAGGAACGGGGGGCCGGGGTGATGTCCCCCCCTCCCCCAATATTTAACTTGGCTTCATTCATCCCCCAATAATCAGACCGTTATGCACATTATTAAGTTGTGTCCCCCGCAATGTCAGACTCTCTCCTACGCCATTGCATATTCGTATTCGTAATAACGAATATTAACGTTCCACCTTCTTGAAGAGCCGGGTAATTTTTATTTTGCGAATTTGCGTAAGATTATTATAAAATAACAGGGAAATAAAGCGGTTTACCTGTTGAAAAGGCATTCTGAGCGCTCCCATATTCACGTAGGGCGCGACTCTGCACGCGTCTAAGTGGCTGGCGGTCCCTAGGATAACACCTGAGGAAATAATGAAAGTTAGCGGAAAATATAATAAGGTGCGATTTATTAAGCTGTCCAACGGGGACATGAATGTACGCATGCAGCTCAGGGTCCTGTGTGCTAATGCATTACGTCTCCCAAAGAAAGAAGGAACTGCTTTCACTGTCTTTTTAGAGTGAACACTGCAGCTTGACACTGCTCAAAAACAGATGTCGTTTATCCGGGACTGTGGTTCAATAAAAACTGAGATTTATGATGCGTATTTTAATGAAACCATTGACATTAACAATTAAACATTTACAAAAGTCATAGTGGTATACCTTTGTGCATTTGATTTTCTTGTTTTCTACATTTAGCTCTTCTGTTTTGAAACCAAACCTGAAAAATAAACATTGAAAACATAAGCGAATATCGACAGTCATCTTTCATTTGGACTGCTGGCTTTGTCAAGAAAATCCAAGTACGCGTAGAAACTATAAAATATAAACATTAGTAATGCAACCGCGGAATGACAAAAGTCGCTTTTTATTAAATATTAATTTATCCAGTCAAATAAAAGGAACTGCAAAAAATTGGGACGTGTGATTTTGATGTTGCATGACGTATCGTATGTGTGTATATATGTGTATGTTTATATTCTGTATGAAAGAGTTATGATTGTTTTACTTGAATGTACATGCTTCAATACTGTATTGTTCCCTTGGACGTTTAAACCGTTAAAACTTTACAACAGGATACAAGAAATAAAACGGTAAACGTGGTGTTTATTCCTTGGTAACATTTATGTTTATCATCTAGAAAATAGTGTATATAACTGAGTGTAGTAAACTATCTTTAAAGATGATCATTTACAAGGCCGTAAGAAGTGGCACGGACACAGTATTTAACCAAGCAAGGTTAAATGATTTCAGTTTGCAGGGGCCAGGGAGGTGAAATTTGTGCCTTTATCATTGAAATAATGTTTCGTAGACAAGGGAATGTTGGGCGATTGTTAAATATTCACATAAATTAGACATACATGAGTATATCCATTTATATACTTGGTAAGCGCTGATCAGAATTTTTAAACATTTATAGTGTAACAGTAATCCCATACGTCCAAAAGGATTTAAATGTATTTTCGACTATTTCTGCCGCTTTTTTTTTATTTTTTAAAAGAACTTATATTATAATGACTCTCGTGATTATAGTTCTGCAACTATTACACATGATATGAACAATATTTACATAAAGGTTTTTAAACAAATATTTTGACCTCTGTTACTCATAAATCAAACTGAAGATCAATTCCAATTATCAACGAATATGCTAAGTAAAGTGAACTACACTGGTTTAGACAGTTATTTCTTCATTAAGGACCACTCAATGATGCGCTTCACAAATACTCTAATCTAATTTCCTTTTGATTTTTATCAGAGACAGTGAATAATGACATTTAATTTAGCTCTGCACCAGAAAGCAAAAGATATTAGTCGTAATTGAATTACTGCCTGCCCCTCACCAAGGTCTCATAACTTTCAATTAGGTCCTTGACAGCTGGCCGGTGTGGGATTTCTGTAGAACACTAAAATATAGGTTAATATCTGCTATCCACCACACCTCTTACAATTTGTTTACAATAGATTTCCAGTTGAAATAATATGTCCCTCAGCGACTTCTGGAAAACATCGCGGTATTTTAAGAAGTGTCTACCAAGGCTCTCTGCCTCTCACGCACCGAAGGTTTATTTTCAGACGGAATACATATTTAATGGGTATACTGTGTGTTCCCTGACTAAAACATTGTTCGTGCAGTTCGTAATAAGCTTTATTTTATCTCTGCGTCCAACAGTAATTTTATATATGTCGCACTTGCAAGCTGTCACGCAGACTCCCGCCATTGCCTTCTCTTCCCATTAACTGACGCCCATGCGATATTCTACTGAAGGAGTTACGGCAAAATTGAATTATTTCTAATACATTTTTATGGGAACAGTATATCAAACCATTGGCAGATATTACAAAGATAACGTTGGAGAAAATGAGGTGAGTGACATAAGACGGTGTCCCCTGCAGCAGTAGTTCAATCTCTTCATTAATTTTAATGATGTGGTTGAATCTATCTGCTGTACACGAGTAACTTTCTTGTGAATTTTGCTGTTAAGGATCAACTTTAAAAATGCAATACATTGTCGCTTATTTTTATTTATACTTAGCAAAAAATGGACTAAACTTTCTAATGAAAAGTAAAACAGAAAACGCAGTTATAAATGTAAATAATAGGTGAAAAACAGAAATGTGCTCTCATATTAGATACAATTAAAATCCAATGTACATATTTTTCATTCACCGTGAAATGTTTTAATCCTATTCAGCTATTACTTGAAGTTTATATTTCTGGCTTTTAAACCTTGAATTTGCATTCTTCTCAGGGTTGCGAAATTATTAGAATTGGGTATGCTATGTGATTTTGGATGTGTATTATAAACCTTTGGGTGATTCATATCTTACTGGTGTAATACGTACATAACAAATGGCGAAAACTAACTTGGACCTGTTATTTCTCGCAAATCTTTATCTTAACGTGTCTAGTTGAATTTGGTCATAATAATACGATATATTGTTTTGATCAATAAATTATTATAATATGTAAAGCTTCTAAAAAAAATTAAATGAGAAAGAAGGTGGGAAAAGTGCATCGAGTCTGGCAAATGCAATTTTATTGAACGAAACTTAAACATAAGTCTAATTTAACGTTAATTCACATTTGATATACTTCTATGAGTATTGCTGTATTAACGTATTTTGAAATATAAAAGTCAGAAATTTGTGAGTATATGAAATAATCCAATATCGACATTGTTTTGTATATCTCACTTGTTTAAAATCCGCGTATTTAAAATTCGGTTTTTGAGTCGAGTGTATCGATATGTGGACATCAATGGTTGTTTGTGTCTGCGTGCGTGTGTGTGTTTGTGTGCAAAGTGAGTCAAGATATTGATTTAAAATTCATGTGAATTCTGCCAGAATTTATGATTCAAAACGTTTTTAAATAATAATAATAAATATATATTCACAAAAAATTACATAAGAATATTCTTCCGACGTTGTAGTTAATCAGTGTAATCTGCAGGTTTTAAAGGCCCATAACGGCGTGACGGGTGAGAGGTTCATATCATTTGTTTATCTCTGTTAAAGCTCCGCTTAGATGACTAACTATTGCCGATTAAAGACCCTGAGCCCTACCGTTAGCGGGTCTTACCTGCACTCTGGCTTCCGACAGTCCCAGCCTTTGGCTCAGCTCTTCTCTCATGAAGGCATCTGGGTAGTGGGTCTCATCAAACAGTCTTTCCAATTCGTTCAGTTGCTCCAACGTAAAATTTGTTCTACTCCGTCTCTGTTTCAGTTTGCTTTGTGCATCTTCATCCTCGGATTTCACTTCCTCCTTCTTCTCCTTGCAGTCATATATCCCTATGTGAGCAGAGCACATTTTAAAAGTAGCCCTTCAGTTAAGCGCATAAGACAAAGGCCTACGCTGAAAAGGCTCCTTTCCCTGCTCTGCAGTTACGCGTATCTGTTGCTGCTCCGTGAACTGTGTACGTGGAATTAACCGCGTCTTAGTGTAGCTGTTCCAAAACTGTTAGAACAAAATAATGAGATTGGCAGGATTGACGATTTACGACATGAGCAGAGTACGATGTAGTGTGCCGTATAACGGCTCCCAGGTCTCCCGTGTAACCAGAAATGTAACTCGCCTTAATATCGATCCATTTTACGCCGAGTTAATTTAAAAGATGTAGAATATTGTAGGTGTCCTTGCGGAAGGTCCAATTCAATCGTATACAAATTAGCGAAAATTAAATAGGAAAGCGTGAACACCACGTATTTACTTCCAAGTGGATATGGAAACACTCCAAGTTGGTTTAAATATGATAAGTATTATGCTTGTATGAAATGCATCAGGGCACAGAGTTGTTTAAATGATCCAAAAGCACATTAATAATGTTTGTTATAATTGACAATCTCATGAACTTTCATGAACTTTTAATATGTTTCTGTTATATAGCCTGATTATTTACTCATTTATTAATACATACATACATTCTGCCAGTGTTTGTGTGTGTTAGATATTTATAAACCTGTATTTATTGTAAGTGTTCTTGGCTATTGTCACCAACGCGTTCATGCAGTTTATAACTAACTGAACCTTATGGTTCTTAGTCGGTTGCTGGTGTGTATTTATTTGTGGTGTGTTTGTTTGGTGTGTGTTTGTTTGATTTAATCGTAAATGCAGTGAAAAATTGTATTCACTTATTTAAGAATTGTCTAACTTCTGATATTTTAGAAACCTGAAACCTTTAGAAACCTTTGTTGTATCTCCAACCTGACATGATAAATGTGAAATATTTATATCTGTTTTAATATTTTAAATTTGCATTGGAAGTATGTTATTATAGTAATTTGAGATATTATATGGTATTTCTTGTGGCCTGTATGAAGCTTCGCTCTCATATGACATTGCACGTACAGGCGTATTCCGTTTGTACCACAACATAATTTGTTAGTTAATTAAAAACACAATCTGTTTAATACAGAAACAATACATGTTGTGATATAATATTCACGTCATTACGGTATTGCTGTGAACAATATAGATATTGCGTACGGGCGCATATGTGGAAAAACTACATAACACGCATGTCTGAAAATATACAGAACGTCTGACTTACAATAAAGACGCTGAATTCGTTACCGTCAAATCATTTCACTTCTCTGTCGCATGATTAAATATTGTGATGCGGATTACTGCCCATGTACAGAAATCAGTACCGATTTGTGCACAGGAGGACATTACTCGGTGCTCAGCGTTATCCATTTTTATTGCATCGCACCGCGGAAATCATAACAAAAAATAAACGCTAGCGACAATAAACTTACCTTCAGAAGCTCTTGTAACATTAAACTCCTTCAGTTTTTCCTTTTCCAGTTCGACGTGTTCTTTGAATAGGTGTACAGGACAGTGGTTGCTGGTCTCAGTAATGTCCTGAAGGTTGGTCTCCGAGTTCCCCAGTTCCCTGGCTCGCGCTAAGCCACTCTCCAAAACTTCCCTGTACGTGATACTCTCCTTGCTGCTCTCCTTGGTTTTCTGGTCGAAAGATTTGGAAACGAAAGCTGTAAGTTCTTCCATGGCTGTTTAGTGGTCCTGATCACAGAAATCCACTTAAAATTTGCTAAAGATTAGTCGTTCCCTTGTTCAGTTGTGAAAGCGGTAATATCGGGATGTAGAAGGTTAGATCACTCTTGCTATTATGTCTGTGTTTTGGAGATCACACTATTTATACATGGCTACCCCAGCCCAGCCCCCATCTCCATGTCTTGAGCAATTACTGGCGGCTCCACTGTCTGAATTCAACTTTCAGCAGCTTTTGCCGAAATCAATGCATACATGGAGCCAGCCAATTAAATTATAATTTATTAAGATACCAACAGTGGCTGATGGCAGGTCCCTTGTATGATCCGTGTACCTTACTAGACTGAGTGGTTTAATCATCTGGCATTCAATGTATCTAGCATGCAGGTAGCAGGGTGATGGCATATGTTTGTGCTACAGCGAACTAGATGCATTTATTAGGCTATAGCTTAATGACTGTAAATAAACCAAATTAGCACCTATAACAGTAATCGTGATGATAACCTTTGTAAATTATACACATACGTGTATGTCTATGAACTTGTCAACACACATTTATGTCTGTGATGTCTCTCTCTCTTTCTCTCTCTCTCTCTATGAGTGTGTGTGTGTATATATATATATATATATATATACACACACACACACACACACACAGTTATTGACATTTTCTTGTGTGTGTTAATCTATCCCGTTTATATAATTAATTGGTTTAGTGCTTTTTGGTCAAGACTATAGTTGAAATCATGTTTTAATTAATGTTATCAACTTTGTTAAAATTACACAGTAAGTAAAACGGGATAGATAATATTCTGTAAATGGTGCTGTTTCCAATCAGCTAAGCGCTTTGAAGCGTTTCTTTTTAGGGTTAGCCTTTAAAGGATGCTTTTCGCAAAAAACGAAACCTTGACATGCTTTCTTCCACGGGTTTGAACATTGATTTTATTGTTTTTGTAAAGTGCTTAATGCAGCCTTACCTCACAAGTAATTTAATATTTTATATATTAATGCTTGTATTTTTCTACAAAGAACAAGATAAGTCATCGGTTGAAACTGCGCTATTTCTGGTTTGCATAATGAGCGCAATATTCTGTTAAGTACAGCACTTGCATGGGGAAATAATTTACTACATTTTTATTTAATAATATTTCCTGTTTATAATGTCTACAGTAAAAAAATATATTTGCATATAGTGATGTTACGTATAAATATAAGCAACCAAAGACTGACTTACTTGTGCGATTGTTGCAGCTTTGATTTCGTCTTTTAAACATAATTACATTCTTTTTGCTAAATTATTTTGGTTGATTTGCGGGACAGGACGTCTTACATCATGGACCTCTTGGTTATCATTTTTGTCGTCTGTAGTGATCCATGTTGCTTTCATTACTCTCCAAAAACGTGTTTTATTTTTGAAGCCATAATTCTTTGTACTCCCCAGTGTTATGCGCATTATTTAATCATACAGATGCTATGCAGTGTTCTTTTAACTTAAACACTGCAGTGTGACAGATTCTTACATTATTGATATACGTGATTCTGAAACGTGTTTCATGCTGATACTGCGTCCTCGTGTTGCAAATGCATCGGAGTTCCCGGACAGGTCTTTCACGTTATAACTGAACGGTTTACAGAACGGTTCAAATTGTTTTAAAAAGGTGAATAATGATTCCTTTCCAGCGTAGATATATTTTATTGTCAATGTCTGGTCTTCAGTAGATAATGTCTTCGCAGTCACAGGGAACATCCGATTTGATTGTGAACAACTGCTTTCCTTACTGAAGTAGTTATAGACACGTGCCTTTTTCGACTTCAGCGGCGTAAGTAAGACATTTGGTGAAGCTCACCTGATCTTTCAGCGAGAGATTTCTGAAATGGTATTTGGGATCATGTTTATTATGAATACTGCTTAATATACATAAGTAAGAATTTCTTATATTTCTTACATTATCAAGTATAATCCGCGCAGGTGACGTCAGATCTTCGTGAATATTAGGCCCAGTTTTTAGATGCTGAATATTCTTAAGGTATACAGGTATACAATTGTCCCGTGATTTTTATGTATAAATATCTAGATTGTAGGCCATCCGCCACTGTTGTGCGTTTTGCGGTTGTTTCCTGATGCTTTTAAATAATCGCAGGACTACAAAGTGGCTGCAATAAATGTTTGTAAATGACTGAATGCAGATGGATTGAAAAAGATTACACACATGTGGTTCCCAATCTCACAATAGCCTCGAGGATGTAGAAATACTCAAGAACAAATCGTCAGTGGAATTCTTAAACTGACGCACTGTAGTCACGACGGATTTAGCAGTGAACCCCCTTAAAGGCGTAGGAAACGTATTTCCAGATCTCTAGCTTACTTAACATCCATAACCCTCCCACCTCACCGTGTTTATGCACCCCTCTTGTTTACTACTTTTGTATACAGATATTTTAAATCGGGATTTCTGTATGGTCGTAATATGACTGGAATGCCTCGTTTGAAGGCTCAGTAACTGACATGATTGGTGGTAAGTTATTTGACCAGACGTGTTTGACCACTCAGAGCATCTGACAAAAAGGTTATCCGCCTATTATTATTCGTTTCGGTCTTCTTGGAGAAAACAGCAACCTGTTAATCGCAGTGTAGTAGATTTTGCAAACTGCCGTATCTTGGTAGGGACTTAATCCGACCGGTCTTTCGATCACTTCGAAAAGACAACTTGCAGATACGGATTAAAACGTTTTAAATGTTGCATTCTTGTTTTTTCCTTTTGAAGTTTTAAATTTAAAATAATATAGATAAATTATGTCAGTCGACATGGGTAATGCGATTTAATATAACTCCAGGGAATTACAGCATTCAGACTTAACGGATGTGAAGTGTGCAGGATATGCAGCAATAGTCAAATGTATTCCTCAAATAGATGTTTCGTTCAGCCATCCGACAATATATCACAGATTAAATCTCTACTTAAATAAATACGTTGTTATTACCATGTATATAGGTTGTAACTTAAGACATTTTATAAGCCGGCGTAAAGGTAATCAATATAATATCGAGTTCTTCATCTCAAATTTAAGTTGACGTTAGTTTATTATCCTTAAAATATCCAATAAGAGCGAAGCGCTATTATGCAGCATCTTTATTTGACATTGGGAATAAAACTAAGTCTATTGAATACAAGAATCGCGAAACGCCGTTATGACGATATTGAAGAAACAATTAATCCAAGTTTCAAAAATGATAATTTTTTCCAAATGAAGAAGGAGCCATACAACGCATACGTCTTATTAACATGTTATTACTCCTGCTGTGTGCTGATTCTGTCTGCAAACGCCTGTTCGCTTGGATGCTGTTACAATTACAGAAACAACTGAAGTTCCGTGCTGAATATATGCATTTATTTACTTGTTAATTTAATAATTTATGGGGAGTTTCCCGCCTATTCAGCATATATTTGAAAGTAAGCTCTGCTCCTTATTTAGAAACTAATTAGTAACCGAGGTCTGCCTTACTTTCTATACCTCTCGTCATTGCAAAACTGATTTTTACCACATTTAATTACGAGTGACGTATTAACTTATTAAGTATTTAAATGTCCGTGTCTGGAGTGTAAATCACTTTTTATAATACTTAATATTCGTTAGGATTATGCTTACATTAACTTTAAAAAAAAAAAGAAAATGAAAATTGAGAAAAATGCATTTTTTAAATTATACTACAGAATTAATTACAAGAGAAAGGTCAGGGCGCGATACGTTATAGCGGAAACACCGCGCATTCACATCTGGCTGTGTAGTGTAAGGTAAGAGCTCCTCATAAACGCAGCACAAAGTGCGAAATCGTTCAGTAAGCAATGTGCTTTTTAAATAAAAAGTGTGTTAAGTTTTTAGATTTGGGGATGCATAAGAAGTCCCTTTATGCCTTTGTGTTTCCATGCACTTCTTTTGATACGCTTGAGTGGTGAGGGTACTTCATAAATGCCAGCTGCCGCTTTAAGAAATAATTGGCCTGAATTATTTCCCTTTCCTTAAACAACTGGCGTTGGTATCATTGGCCCCGGCTGTGCCGAGCGCAGCTCCCGTCTTACTTTAAAATGTATAGTAATGCGGCAACGGCCATGCATTCGATTTGCTGTTTATGGCAAAATTAAATAAAATGCCTTCTTTAAAAATTTTAGTTTAGTTTTTACTTAGTTGGATATTACACCACGATTAAATAAATAAACATGTAGGTGTACTGGGACCGCTTCTAAAATTATGCCTAAAGAAAAGGCAGTAATTTATCTACATCCTGTTTGAACAGCAGATGCACTGGCAAGAGCAATGAAATGTCGCTGGTTGTATGGTATTACGACGATTTACGTCCTCGTGCAGGTTATTAATAAAGAGAGCGGGGCGTTAAAAGCTGAGACGCCTCTCGTAGAATCCGGCGCCAGTACTGACATCGTTGCAGGTCGCAAACGAAATCTTATGTGCGGGTAAATGACGAGCAATCACCTCCAATCCTCATATGATAATTATCTGGAGTGATTCATATATGTCATTCTGTAGGGAAACGTGACGTTTGCAGATATTTTCTACGAAAATTACTGCATACATTGCAAAAAATAAACACGTTGAGTGAATTATTTTATGGCCCAAATGCAACTGTATGTGAACAGCTGTGCACATCTGAAGACGCGAACACTCTCCTCCAATCCTCATATGGTCATTTAGTGTATGTACGTTGCAGTTTGGTATCCAACTGAAGTGAAAATATCTTTTTAAAATGTAAGTTTTTAAAATTTCGTTATGATTTGTAAAATTTGCTTTGAACTGTTTCCATTTACCTCACTCTGAAGCGGAATAGTATAGTTCCTTCTGTTTAGTTAGTCATCTTTCCAACAGAATCATTTTCTAAAGCTTCTTTCTAAGCCGGACTTGGCTCCTTTCATTTCCAAAGGCTACCTACCGGAGTCTTTACGGGACTGTGACTGAATCTAATGTCGTTCACGTGATGGCGTGGCTCCGTTTGGGATGCTTGGATGTTTTCAGTCATTCGTATGGCGTTCAGGTAGATGTTTACAGAGCCATCCTACAACTAATAATACATCTTCATATTTTATGGAATATTCTACGTATATCAGTAGC